TGCTTGATGTATTGCAAAGTACAGTTCTGCAGGGAAAATCAAAGTGGTTAATAATTAGGATGCATTAATTAACATTTCCATAGCCTTACAAACTCTGGACATTTATCATGTTTTTGGAGTGATATGCTGTAATCTGGTAGATTTTTAGCTTAATGGTTATTGACCGTCCAGTGACATCTCTGTGGTCAAACTACTGAAATAACTTGCAAAGTAGCTTTTTGTAGCAATGAAGAAGGGAATTGGCGTTGACCACAATGCAGCGTCAGGCTTATTTTCACGTGCTATTGGTGTACATGGCAAATGTACATTGCCAATTTTGTTGTACACAGAAATAAATCAAAAAGCAGATAGAATAACCCTCATTTGCATCCTTACATAAAATCTTTCATAGTGATGTCCCTTGTAGTTGTATTCAAAATTAGAAAATGTGTTCAATATCAACCTTTCAGACATCGTTAGCATTGTTTTGGAAAAGGTTAGCTGCAGCTATAACCTACAGATGTTGCATCCATCACCTTTGGAGCTCTCTAGTCATTGAAGCTGGGATTTTTCAGCTTCAGAGACAGTTGTGTGAATTATGTGGATTTTATGTGAGCCCTGGGAGGCCCAGGTTCACTTGCTGAATGAACAGATGTGATGTCCTGGAAAGCTCAGTCAAGACAGCGATCACCAAATACCCTTCTATAAATAATTTGGAAAATGGCAGCTTTCATATATACATAGCAGTGAAGAATTCAGGTAGCAGTGGGGGATTCAGGTATTAAATTTTCATAAACATTGTTGCTAGAATAGGCATTAATATTTTGGGGGGTCATGAAGTGTGTGGGTGGTAGCAAAGTACCATAAATAACTCAATATTTTTACACTATATATATTAGGATATTCAAATTTCTCCATTTGTTTTTCATTCTAATTTGCAATCCTCTTTGAAAGCAAGCTGAAGGATTGCTTGAGGAATCATTCTGCTGGCCTGATGAAGATCTATTAGCTGCTCAGGTACTGTCAGAAGACCACATGTGTCTTCTGGCTACTCTCTTGACAGGAATCTTGGAAGAAAATAATTGCACAGAGCAGAAGTAACTATTGCTTGAAACACCCCATTACTTTGGCACGTTATCCTTGTGGTGTACACGTGTTGCATGGAACTAAAATTAGTATCCTGTATCAGAAAACATTTGACACAACCTTTTAATAGAAAAATGAACTCTCTCTAAATGAGTGCTATACGTGCTGCTTCCAGTGTACGCAGACTTGATTCATTGATTTCTAATTGTTAACTGAAAAAAAAAAGACATGTAAGTGATTTTAGATCATTGTTTTCTTAATTTCTTAACAGAAGCAACTGTTGAGTCATGGCATAAGCTTCTTCACTGGAAGTCACCTATTTATTGCCTGATATGGGTGAAACGACTTCCTGACAATGTTAGCCAATTCAGAAGCCTAGAAACAGACACCTCTTGCTCTGTGTTATCAGATGATGCTACTGTTTACCAAGGCTTTGACTAATGCAATCCTGTGATTTCAGAATGCCTTTTACTGAACGTGTGGCCTGTGGCAATCAGTCAGCGACAAAATAATCCTTAATCTACCCTACTTTAGAGCTATGAATTGCTGCTTGCATTTTCTAATTTTCCAGTTTTTAAGAATGGTTACGCAAAATAGATGCCTGAAGCTTCTGTTCTTCACCTACCTTCTTCACCATTTTGTTCTAGTAATTAGCCTAACTCAAGGAAACTGGGTAAATCAGGCAATGGTAGCGTTTTGGCGATAACAGATATGATGAAATGTGCTCTCCTGCATTTTGATGGTCTGACTTCTAAGTGACCCTGAGCAGAGACAATAAACAAGTATACTCAAAGGTCAGGGCTTGGTAGATCTGCTACCTTCATTATCAGTAAGGACTACCTGAAATTAGGAGCTAGAAGAGGGTATTTTTTAGCTAGAATTAGCATACAGTACATAAGGGATGAGAAGCACTGAACTTTTCTCAGTGTCAGTGAAAGAAAACAAAACTGCAGAATGAATAAAAAGTTAGATTCGCTGGATCATCCTAGAAAGCCAAGCTTTGTTTCTCTGTTGTACAAATTGTGTTTGGTGTGTGTCAGCGAGAGAAGGATTTGGGAGTGAAAAGGAAGGGCGCGCAGTGAGGACAGCCCAGAGGAAGCACTGCTGCACTCTTAGCACAGAGCTGGCATCACTGGCTCCAAACAAATGATAAGACTCCAGTAACAAAAATGAAAGTGGGTGAAAAAGCTCTGAATTTTAGGAGGTTGTGTATAATACTTAGAAGATCTATCCAAAGCTAACTATAGAACAGTCTTGTCAGCAAATTTGCAGATGACACCCAGCTGGGAGGAAGAGTAGATCTGCCTAAGGGTAGGAAAGCTCTGCAGAGGGATCTGGACAGGCTGGATTGATGGGCTGAGGCCAACTGTATGAGGTTCAACAAGGCCGAGTGCTGCGTCCTGCACTTGGGTCACAACAGCCCCAAGCAGCACTACAGGCCTGGGGCAGAGTGACTGGAGAGCTATGCGGCAGAAAAGGACCTGGGAGTCTTGGTCGACAGCTGGCTGAACATGATCCAGCCATGTGCCCAGGTGGTCAAGGCGGCCAGTGGCCTCCTGGATGGTATCAGGAACAGCGTAGCCTGCAGGACCAGGGAAGTGACCGTCCTCCTGTACTTGATGCTGGTGAGGCTGCACCTCAAACACTGTGTTCAGTTTTGGGCCCCTCACTGCAAGAAAGACATTGAGGTGCTGGAGCGTGTCCAAAGAGGGCAATGAAGCTGATGAAGGAACTGGAGCACAGACCTTATGAGGAGTGGCTGAGGAAGCTGGGGTTATTTAGTGTGGAGAAAAAGAGACTTGGGGAGACCCTACTGCTCTCTACAACTACCTGAAAGGAGGTTGTAGTGAGGCAGGGGTTGATCTTGATCTCTTCTACAGAATAACTACATATAGAACAAGAAGAAATGGCCTCAAGTTGTAGCAGGAAGGTTCTGGTTAGATATTAGAAAAGGTTTCTACGTGTAAAGAATGGTGAAAGCACTGGAACAGACTGCCCAGGTAAATGGTGGAGTCACCGTCCCTGGCAATATTCAAGAAACGTGTAGATGAGGCACTTAGGGACGTGGTTTAGCAGGCATGGTGTTGAAGGGTTTATGGTTGGACTCAGTGATCTTTAAGGTCTTTTCCCCCCGTTCTATAATTCTGTGATTGTTTTACCTCAGAGTCCTAAGCTGGGAAAATAGCTGGTACAAACAGATGGAAACAAACCTTTATGAATTTTGTTTTTTAACTTGGCAATTAATGAGAAGTATTTCTTCTATATTCATTTTGAGAAATAATCAACAGCCTTTCACCTGATTCCTGTTCAAAAGGAAACAACCAAGAGAAGAATTCTCTCTATGCAGCAGAGCCAGATATTCCGGTGGTCAGGGGACATTTTTGCAAGCCTGTTTCTTGTAGGCAGCTCTTCTATTCCCTACTCAAGATGCTTGATAATATAGAAATTTGGTTCTACTTTGCTTTAGGTGCAGACTGTTGTGGGCTCCTCACTTAATCTGTGGTAATGATATCCTTCCTGATTTTCCTGTACTGTTGCCCTTTATCTACACAAGCTATAATGACAAATTCGCCTGTCATCTTCTTCCATCCCTGAAAATTCTCTGAAACTGTTATTTTTCCCTATGGGGTTTGGGGCTCAGATCAAACTATCTTCCCATGCTGCTGATCTTATTATTGCTGGGATTGCTCTAAATTGAGCATCTGGTAATATGACTGTAATTCAGTTTCAGAAAATGATGAATTTGCTGTGGCTAGTCTAGTGTGCAAAGCATCCTCAGTGAAATATTGCTTTGCTTGTTTTTGAAGCTCATCTCTTCTGGAATGCCAAACTAAGCACTTAGTTTACCATTCTAAGTAGCTCTGATAGCCGCGCTTTGCAAAAATGCTAATACAACCACCCACATACCCCGCACAGGCACCCCCAGACTTTCTGTCTTTGCCTCAGAGACAGTAATAGATTTCACTATCTACTGTTGCAAAAATACAGTAGGAAGCTCTATCTGGGAAATTACTGAGAGCAGTTTCACATTTTTCTATTTCTTATCTTGTGGTTTGGGGGCAGAGAAGGAAACTAACCTCCAGTTTCAGAGACACTGTTTGGTAAACAACAGTTTTGTCTATAGTGCTATGCCCAGGAACTCAGTTGCCCATTCTGTTGAATTATTCCAGTTGTCCTTGACACGGCTTTAGCCCAGATTGCCTAGCAGCACGGGCTGGGGATCATTCCCAGTAGCCAGTTTGGATGTGGCTGTTCTATTTTGAAGTTTAATGGATTTTAACAGCATGGATATGATCAGGCTGTGCCAGTTGACTTTAGGGCCAGCCAACAGCCTTTGATATCACTTAATTTGCGAGTACACATGTAGCCAGTGGTTTGCTCTCTTAACTCTCTTTAAGATCTATGCCTCCCTAAGATTTATGTTTTAAATTCAAATGGTCGATTCATTTTAGCTTTACCCAATTGTTGATTTTTTTTCCTATTAAGATGAAGTTTTGCAGCCCAGGCATTCCTTGTGCATTATGTCAACATCACTTCAGTAGCCAAACTGTGGCGAGATTTCACTGCTCTTTGTTCTTTGTACGGAGTCAATCAACTAAAGCTGGCAATATATGATGAGATTACAAGCAACAAGGTTAAGCCTATAATTGTCTCCAGCAGAAGTCATCAGCAGTGGTTTAGTGTTTCTGAGATTGGTACTGACCTGAGTGATAGAGGGGAGAAATCTCTGTTTGCTACCTCCTGAGCTACAAGTTAGCTCTTTATTCTGAAGAGCTTAGAGCTTACTGGTGGAACTGAATGCTTCTGACCTGGGCAGAGTCCTGAAAATTCTCCTCTATGTGTTTGTTGGCTTGTAGCCAGTGTTCTGTGCCTGAGGTACATAGAAACAAAAATACTCACATACTGACTCTATTTTTTTTCCACCCTTTATTTAGGTTCTTCCTTTCCCCAGCCAGGTGGTCTACAACAGAGTTGGAAAGTGTGGGAGTCGAACTGTGGTTTTGCTTTTGAGAATTTTATCAGAGAAACATGGATTCAACCTGGTTACATCTGACATTCATAACAAAACAAGACTTACCAAAAATGAACAGGTAAGTTATTCCTTCTCACCTTAGAGGCTGTTTTGTTACTATACTTCCAAAACTGTGAAATAAAGGAGTATGTTAGCAGAAACCTTATTGAAAGAGTATGTATTACTTCTTTCACCTGGGTTGTCACCCAGAATTCATCATCCTTTGAGTGGCTTCAATTAATAGAAGACATGGATGGTAGATCCCCAAGCAGCATGATGTGGAGAGCTACCACAAAAACTAACTGCAAATGAGACAGCTTTTGAATGCAGTCAGCATAGCAGTCCGGTGTTAGTCACTTCGACAGAGAGTCAAGAAGGTTATTCTGAGTGGAGTTTGGCACTAGCCACTCCTGGGACCTGTGCAAATATATCTGCAGGGCAGGCCATTTATCATATAGGCATGCCAGTTTATTCAGGCCTAGCTTAGATTTCTTTAAGCAGAGCAGGAATTAAATAATAGCCAACAATTTCTTTGTTCACTTTCTTCATTTGCTTTGAGTTATTACTTGCTTCTAAAAGTTCTTTCTAGAGCTATGCTAACTTTTGTTGCTGTAGCCTCACACTTCCTTGATCCTATCTTCCTCTTCTGCCTTTTTCACATTACACATGCCTTTCCAAGGCAACACCCAGTGAAACCTTTCTCCCCAGACACCCCTTTTCATGTTCCCTCAAAGGGTAGAGAGCACTATTTTTTCCACTTTGCAAAAATAAGGTCTGCAGAAGGTCCAGTTACTTCAATTTACCTGTATTTAGGGTAATAAACCACCATAAATATCACTGCAATGAGGAGGCATGGATGTAAATAATGCAGAAACCTCAGACTCCAGAGATTTAGTGAGATGCCTTTATACACAAGTGTGTTCTTTGCCCACAGCTGTTCTTTTGATCTGCTGATTCAGGTAAATGCTGCAATAAGGCCCGACGTCATTCCTAAGATTAGCAATCTACAAGCCACAAAAGGATGTGATGCTCAAAATACAGACGTGGGGCCCAGCAAGGGCATTCTACTGTAGTTAGGTGTCATTTATTTGCAGCGTGTTTACGAACATGATCTTCCCCGTTCGTTCGTTCGCATGTGGCGGTTCGTTGCAAGTGAAACCTTCTTTCCAGGAAAAGGCTACGGGGGAAGGTGCCAGTCCCACATTTGGCCTCCTATGTGGTGGCCACTGCTCCTGAGCAGGCAGAGGGATGGGGCAGAGCCCTGAGCTTCAGCTCCCGCAGCACCCCTGTGAGTGGTGAGCTGCTGTAGCCACCATCACGCTTCCTGCTGGAGAAAATGGTCCCACTGCATCAGGATGGAGTGATGCTGTGCTATGTGGTGTGCTCAGTAATTTCAACTGCTTTTAAATTTTTCTGCTTAATTATCAGATACGGGGTGGGGAGGCATCTCCTAATATAATTGGTTTTGTGTTTTGGATTGGTTGGACCTTATTCTGAGGAAGAAATTTGTCATCAGATTTCATTGCTCATTGCCTGGGAGATGCATCATAAAGTCTAAAGATCTTTAAAATGATAGTAACCTCCATCTTCACCCTTGTCACCTCCTTCATTGCAAAGCTCGATGCCCATTGTCAAGTATGACAAAAGATCACATATAAACAGTTGGCTATGTTTTACTACAGCTGACATACTAAAATTAAAATCCGAAAAATTAAAATTACTGCAACAAATACATTGGTGGACAAAAAATGCCTGCAGTAAGTTTTGCTATGCAAAAGCTATTAGGTCATGAGACAGCAAATGTGATAGAGCACAGATGGTGGTGGACATATTGCTACAGAGCTGAAGATTTACTCTCCAGATTGCCCTATTATAACTCAAGTCACTGTCTTCTAATTTATGGCTTATTTACACAGTTCCCGGGCGCAGTGGGTGCCTCTGATCACCCAGAAACATTCACAGAGATAGTAACTGTTCTGTTGGCTAAGGTATGCTTCTTGCTGAGTGGCTTTTTTAATGACAATATGAGAAATCATTGTTTCTCTCACCTTTAATGGGATGTACCCAAGTGGAAATTAAGAGAATAGATGATGTCAGGCTGCAAGCCCTAGAATGAGAACAAAAAAGTGGTGTGCAGGCTCCCAGCTGAGCATGGGCTGCTCCCTCAAGATGCTGCTACTCTGATCCTTCTGTCATTTGTCTGTTTTGTATTTGGTTAAAGCCCTGATCCAGCCAAGACTTTATGTAAATATTTAGCTTATGCAGTCTGCTATTGTTAAATAAAGTTAAGCACTTAGGTGCTCTTTATGACTACAGATTGCACATAACTGGATTCCATATTCTCAATGCTTTTTCTATTCTGCTTCCTACTAAGAAACTTTTCAAAGTTGTGTATGCTTGCCAGCAATTAGAGGTGTAGCCTTTGAACATTTGTGGGCATAGGAGAGTGGGTTTGGGAAGCTGATGGGTTCATTTGTGCCTTGCCATTTGCAAAAATATTCTCAATTGCATTAAATACAGAAATTGTGTTTTCCTGGTCGCTATTTCTGTACACAGAGTGAAATGAATCAATGTAGCTTTAAATTGACACATATGTTGGTTTATAACAAATTCTCCCTCCCAGAAAGTTCCTTTGCACTCAGAGAAGGAAGAATGAATATGCTTAAAAATATGCAAAAGCTGAGTACATGCAGGACTAATAGACAGTTTGTCCTTATATCATTTCCTTCTGCTCCTATCCTTTTGCCCAGCCAGCCAGCTTTATATATCATTCAAGTTTAGCACACTGAGGATCCATTGCTAATTTTTCTTAAATACTTATGAAGACAGAAAATTAGTCATAGCAGCTTGGGGAGTTTAAGAAAGTTTTGAAGCAACTCCAAATTTTTAAGGGATGAAAGTGGAGGACCAGTCACATTACTATGATGATGACACAGTTGTGAATTTTCTGTGGAAAGGAAGTTCAGCCAAGATGAAAGCGATATCCCAAGTGCCTGCAGATACTTGTGTCTCCTGGATCCTACATGCCTTCAGTAGAGACTGAAATCAAGAGGAGAGGTAAACAACTCACAATTGAGACAGTTGCAGTGAACTTTTTGTTTTATTTGTAGTAGTGTTAGCAGAGACCATAGTGCAGCACAGCTGGCATCACTTGAAAAATCACAGTTGCCTCACCATTTTTACGTGTTTTTAAATTCCATAGCAGTGAAGTACAGCAGTTTAAAAAAAAAATCCGTATCATTATCTGATATTTTGTTTTGTTCCTGATGGAATTTACCTGTTACACATCTGAACACAGTGCAGCAGCCCTGAGCAGGCCAGCACAGCCAGGTGAATGTTCAGGCAAGAGGGAAAGCGGGTGTCCTCGCTCAAGAGTCTGACTTTAGTCTCTGTGCTGGAGCAGTGCCGTGGCTGGAGCTGGAGCAGTGCCATCCTCCACGTTTCTGTCCTTGCCGGGAGGGCCCCCATCCAGTTTCTGCGAGTTGTTTCACTGTGCCATCTGCCGGCTTCTTATTTAAAATGCAGCAAAAACAACGTGTCAGTAGGCTGATGAGACTGAGCCAATATAACCCGATGTCTTCAGCATGGCTAACTGGAGAAGCTGCAATGGTAGCGTAGGGCAGTAGTGTAAGGAAAAGTTTTCCACTTGGGCTCTCTTGGTTTTCTTGCTTTGCTGGGCTGTAAGATTCAAAATGAGCTTTTGTTTTAAGGTATTGTCTCTACTTATGGATCTTCTCTTGTTTAAACTTTCTGCTTTAGAGTCAGAGAAGCAAAGAAACTTTATAGAAAAGTTTGGAAAGAAAACTTAAGCAAGGAATCATAGTGGCAATAACATATTATCCTAAGAAGCAAATCAGCATTTAGACTAAAAGACTGTGTTCTTCACAATTATTTGCTGATTTTAGTGAGTTCTGTAGAATCATAGTTTTTTGGCCACATAATGAGTGTTTAACAGCCAGGTATTTATGGCTACGGTAGCAAATACTTAGGAGCACAGCTGATGACGCCGTGTGGGTCTTTGCAGCCGCTTCCTTTAGTTCCAAGCCCTGCAGAGTGTCTCTGTGCTGCCTGTGCTCTCCGCTTTTCTGCCGCGGGTGCTGTGTGCTGGGGGTCCCAGGCAGGGCCGGGCCAGCCTGAGCGCGGTTGGTGCCAGCACAGGCGCTTCGGGTCCTGGTGCTGCCCTCTCCCTTGGTCTGTGCTGGGCAGCATTAAGCTGTCCGGGGCAACTCAGTTCATTTCCAAAGCAAATTGCTGTCTTTTCAGCACCGTCTCACCCAAACAGCCTGAGTAAACTCTTCCAGCACTGAGAGAAGGGGCAGCTCTTCACAAGCCGTCGTCCTTGAGGGCATGTGCTCCACTTGGTCTTCCCTCAGCTTTTCTTACAGCTTCTCCTAACAAATACAAAAATGTTCCGCTTCATCTCTGCACTGCCTATATTTGTCCTAGCAGTTTTTCTTCTGCTTGTGACTTTTCGCATCTTTTCAAGCTAGTGGTGGTTTAGGAAAGGTCTTCTAGTTGATCGGTACTTATCTCTCTTCCTCTTGCATCTCCCATTCCGTCTAAATCTATTTGCTCTTCTCTTCCCAGCTCTCATCCTCTTCTCACTCTTCATCTGTCTCTCCCTTCTACTCCAGCCTTTTTGTGTTGAAAGATCTATTTATTTATTTATTTATTTATGCACCATCTTAGAAGGAGGGCCGATTGCTTGGTGTTCCTGAGCAATATGTTTGGCTTGCAAGTTGAAATCAGTTCAGCCCAGTGGGATCAGAAGAGAGAGAGAGAGCCCCATGGGAAATCTGGCCACAACTTACATGTGGCTGTGAGCCACTACAGTTATTTATTTTTCCCTTCTGACATCTGTGTGTTGTTTCTGTTGAGCCTTACTTACCCTTTTGGCAGGGTTTTTAAAAGAATGTTTTTTGCTTGTTTGTTCATATGCACAGTGCACATCTGCTTACAAGTCCAGTTGAGCAGTAAGTGTCTAAATATGAAGGTACTTTGAGTCAAAACAAAATTCTGTGTCTGGTTTGGAATAAGTTATTAGCATAGCTCCAGAGATTGAGTTTGGTAGCAAGAACTTTAAAAAAAAAAAAAAAGAAAAAGAAAAGAAAAGAAAAAGGCAGGCAACCGGATCCTGTCTGACTGTCAGTGTGTCTGTGTGTGTCTTTGCAGACTCACTTTGCTGCAAAAAAGTGAGCACTTCTGCTACTTCAGCACACAGATGCACATGAGCCTGGCACTTAGATCAGCTGATTCACAATGGGAAAGGATGTGGAATTGTATGCGAGTGAGCCTGGTGCTTGCAAATCGGTGCTTAGGGCATGGGGGAAGGAGAAAGAGAAGAGGGCGGCTTCTATGATACTTTTTACTTACACTTGTACACACACACACACACACACATTTATTTGTCATTATTATTTTAAAGTTGCTAGTGTTTTTAAACCTCAGTTGTGACTGCTTTGTACATTCATACTATTTTTTACATCTTCACAGTTATGCTATGGAAAAAAAAAACTCAAAAGATGTCTAATATCTAACTTTTTTTTGTGTGTGTGTGAGGCAGTGGTTGCAAAGTGTCCTGAGCTTTCTATTTCTGACCTAGTCAAGATTTGTTCTTTATTTTTTATGGCTTACTTTCTCATAGCATTTTGTTATAATACAGGAGCTGTGTAAACACTTGTTTGTATGAGGTTTAGTCAGAGCCTAGATAGGAGGGACTAAAGCTAGGTAGGCATCTTTACGTCTTCCCATTCTTTTTCTTGAACATCTTTTTTTCCCTTTTTTCCGCCTTTCGTATTCTCTTCCTTTCAGTCTCCTTTGTTCCATTCCTTTGGGTTTTTAGCATTTCATGGGCTTGAAGCCTGTGGAAATAGGCCTAAAGTTTGTTACACTTGAGCTAGTTCGACAGAAAGGGGCCCATCAGGAGAAGACAGACAGAGAAACTCTCTGCTTCAGCCCTTCTCACATGTGCCTGTATGTACAATAGTCGAGGGCAGAGGAAGGATGGAAAGAGAACATTTGCGTGCGTGCCTTTTCATTCCGGACCAGAAGATAAATGGCCATGGTTTGTCCTGGCTGAAGGAAGATAGGATATGTGTCTCGGATGGGGGGAAGAAAGCTGGTGAGTGCTAAAATGTGGCACGCAAAGTAAACCATGGCAAAATATAGCCTATCAAAACGGGGATATATAAGAAAAAAGTTAATTCATGTCCCTTAAATGTAGTTTATATATTTATAGGGCATGGATATCAGTCTTTATGAAGCTCTTTGGGGCTTTTTAGCCCTGTAAGTGATTGCACATCAGTCAGCTTATCTGACCACTTGATAGGCTGAACCCCAATGCTTCTCCTTATTTTGTCCATGTCCACTATAACATTCCAGTTAATATTTTTTAAATTAACATCCTTTTAATTTCAGAACATGAACTGGACATGATGCAAACCAGGATGTTTAGGTCATCTTTGCTTTCTTTTCCCTCCTTCATCGCAGCAGGCTAGACATTTCTGAGGTTTTTTGAGTTTTTACTCCTTAGGCTGTAAAATTCAATTAATATATTATGAGTTTCAATTGCATTTGTGTTCAGTGTCTGTAGTACAGCGTGCATTGGAGTATAGAACAGATGCTGCTAAAAAGAAAATCTCAGGGCAGGAAAGTAAGGAAGGAAAATTATTGAGAGTGGTTCAACTTTCTAGTGCTTGGTTCCTCTTCAGGCTTTCAATTCCTTGACATGCTGTGCAATATTCTTAAAGCTGGGGTTGAACAAAATGTAAACTGGGCTTACACAAGATGCATATTCATATCCTTGGAATGTGATCTTTGGTATATACTGTTTATATGACATTATTTTAGTTATCTTTTTGAATGCAAAAAATAAAATATTTTTTAAAACAAAATGTTGTGAATGCACCTGAGCTACAGCTTAGCCTCATCTTTCCAAAAGTGCAGCTAGATTTGTCCTTTTCATTTTCTGTCATAGTGAAAGGAATGTGTTCTATGTATGAGCAGGCAAACAATGACACAGTGCTTTGGCAAGATTAGGAATTTTTATTGTTGCAAGAAAACGCTCACTGGCTCTGCTCCTGCTTTCTGGTAAAGTTTCAGACATTTTACATTTTGGCATTCTGCTTAGCAGAGACATTATCTTGAGATGGTAGCTGCCACTTGCAAAATTCAGAGGCAGGTTTGGGTGGAATTTTTTTTTCTTTTGTTTTAAGCCCTTCTTTAAACTGATATTAGCTTCTGGAAGCGTGTAAGCCCCATGAGAGCACAATGATGGCTGCATTTTAACTTCCCTTGCATAGGCATGAAATAGTAACAGTGCTATCTTGATTAAAGTTACCATCATGGTTTGGGAGGGATATTGGAGGAGTTCCTGAGTAGTTCTGACTTGTAAATTACATTGTTATTTGTTGAGAGTTATATTTGTCTCAAAATATGCCTTGACATAACACGGAAAATTTGATTTGTTAATTCTTTTTAGATGGAATTGATTAAAAACATAAGCACTGCTGAGCAGCCCTATTTATTCACTAGACATGTTCATTTCCTCAACTTCTCAAGGTAAGGCATTTATTCACTTAAAAGACTTTTTTGCTGAGTTGTATTAATTTGTGATAAACAGAACACTTTCTCTCATTTTCAAATATAAACAATACATTGAACTTTTTTTGTCCTTTTTGGCACTGGAAATCGCATTCAGAAGTCTTTTCCTTTGGTATTTTTGCCTACAGAATAGTTACATACAGAATGTATTTGAAAAGCTGGAATGGTGTTGCGTGCTTCTGGTACAGAGACTGTCTTGGTTTATAACATTTCCAGATGATATGGGTATGTAGCATAGCTTGTGTTACTGGAGTTCCTGTCAGATTTCCAATTGATGCTGAGTAATCTGAAGGTAGCACTAACAAAGCTTATGTTAATAACTGGGGTCTTTAAACTATGTACTCTCTTTTTAAAACAGGCTCAACAGTGGCTGCATATTGTTGAGAATGTTTTACCTGCATGTAGTCTCTGAGAGTGGAAATTTCCCAAGTTCATTACATTTGTGACTAGAATGTTTTTTCACCCATTTAGCTTATATTTTTGTGCTGACAAAGCTGTCCCCAATCCACAGGATGCAGAAGCATTTATAAACTACACACAAAATTATGTGCTGTGTCATGGGAGTGCCATCCCATCTGGCATAATATGTAACAGCTATTTAAAAGAACACAGCAAGCCTCTAGAGGCATTTACAGCATAGAATGTGAAGAAAATTGAATTTGGATGAAACTTCTGAGGAATTTTTGGAAGAGTGCAGATGAGGTATGCCAGTTAGCAGTTAGCCAGGATACAGAGGTTAAAGCTAACTGCAGATGATTATTGCCCAAGCTTTAAATTTCATCTAAAAATTATATTCGGGAACTATGCCATCTGTGCCACTAGGTTGGACTCTTGGTACTTAGATAAAAGCATTTCTGTAGAAGCGTGAATTTTCTAGAGGTCTTTCCAAAAGCTTGCCTAACTTCCCAGCAGTTTTTTTTTTAATGCAATAATATTAGTCATATACTTCAAATGTGTGACTTCAGGCATGGGTACAAAGTGTGGTAAGAAATGCCAAACATTTAAATGGATTTTTAATACTTTTTAAAAATTTTATTTTAAGAAGATGAAAACATTTTGAGCAATTGAAAGTTCGCTTGCCCTACAGTCAACTATAGGCATGATTCCAATGCATGAAAACGTGATGATTTAGACAAAATTCTGATTTTCTGTATTCTGTCTTTTATAATAGTTCGATTTCTAATATATTATTTTTAAACATTCATTAAGAATAGGACTTCACATCTTGCTAAATCATCTCTTCGTCCTGTCAAAATTCAGGATTAAGCAAATAGCATGCCTGAGGGACAAAGGAATATTTCTTGATAATACTGATTTTTCAGAGATGTTACATAGCATTAGACACATGAGAAAGAGATTAACATCTTGCTCCTCCTAAGATACCATTTACCCTAAATATGGTACACCCTTATCACACAGGTAGCATGTTTCCTATGCTATGTATGCTTAATAGGAAATCTCTCTCTTTTTCCAATTTCTGAAAATATATTGAAAATAAAATATTTGTAGCTTCTTTTTTTGCTGTTAGATGTAAAATTGAAAAATGTAAGTTTACATGTTTGAATTTAGAGGGGTATTTGGTTTGACTAGTAGCTGTACAGGTAGCTAGTGAAAAGCGTGATGCGTCTTTTGAAGTGATGAGACATCCCTGAGGTGCATCAACACTGCTTACTTTTGTCCTAGCTCTTTCTGATATTTTCTGGTACATAAACACACATGAACCAGAGCTTTAGTGTTTAATTTCAAAATCTATTGACAGTGGTATACCCAATAATAAAATAGGATGTAATGTTTTTTTCCTCTGTTCCTGAGTTCTATAGCATATCTTTTTTTTTTTCTTAAACTATTAATTTCCTAAGAATGTGAAGTGTCAAGTACTGAATATGCAAAAAATTCAAGAATGGGATTTAAACAGGCACTGTGAATAATGCAGTAATGTGAAAGAAAATTAGTTTCACTTTTTTTTACTTCATTCATTTGTAGTCCACCTCTAGTGAACAGCTCTGCTCAAATTGTTTATGGATCCCTAGCTTTCCTGGCAGCTGAACAGAAAAGCTGTGTAGTATCCCAGAAACTAGAAGAAAGTGCACCGAGGTGTCAGTTCAGTGTTCTGACTGAGAGTTCCCTATTTGTTAGTAGGAAACCAGTGCAGCAGGTTATGGGGCTGCTATACAAGAGCAGATAGGAGAAATGGCCAAGGCTACGCAAGGTGACGGAATACCACCCTGGTGGAAATCTTTGTTCCCGCAGAGGGAAGGGTTGAGGCTTCCTTGTGGTGCTGCAGCACAGCTTAACTGGAGAGCACAGATTTCTGCAGGGGCAGCAATCACAGAATGGCTAAGGTGGGAAGGGACCTCTTGAGATCATCTAGTCCAACCCCCCTGCTCCAGCAGGGACACCCAGAGCACATGGCACAGGGCACAGACCTTCCAATCCAGGTGGGTTTGGAAGGTCTCCAGAGAAGGAGACTCCACAACCTCTCTGGCAGCCTGTTCCAGGGCTCTGTCACCCAATTGTACCCATTTCACATTTGTTCTATCGCTGGCCAGAGAGCTTCCTCTCTTCTCCTCCCGTCAGGTTTTTGTACATGTCAATAAGATCCCCTCTCAGTCATCTCTTCTGCAGACTAAACGGGCCCAGCTCCCTTAGTCTTTCCTCATACAATAGATGCTCCAGTCCCTTAATCATCTTCGTGGCTCTATGCTAGACCCTCTCCAGGGAACTTATTGTACTGGGGAGCCCAGAACTGCACCCAGTGCTCCAAGTGCAGCCTCACCAGAGCTGAAGAGAGGGATCCCCTCCCTCGACCTGCTGGCAACACTCCTCCTAATGCAGGCCAGGATCCCATTGGCCACCTTGTCACGAGGGCACATTGCTGTCTCATGGACGTGAATGCTGGACATGAGTCCAGTGAGCAACCTGACTTCAGTTGTTTGACACTTTATACCTTTGAAACTAGCCTTCTGCTGGCAGGAAACTTTCTGTACCTTCCTGCTGTGTTGTATCAGACAGGCAGGCAGGTCGGAGACATGAGGTGTGTTATCTCCACAGCTCTTTCAGTTAGCTTCATGGTTACTGTTGGAGTGAAAGGAGTCACTTTTACTCAGTACAGACTTGCACTTTTTGTTCCAGTCTTTTCAGGAACCTCGGGAATTGCCATAGGCCCTTCAGTACATCACTGGGCAGGTAGAAATTAGATAAGCAGAGAAAGAGTAAACAGTGACCTGCAAAACAAAAGTCTGCTTTGAATTCAGTTACTGGTGCCTCTAAGTGAATAGCTGAGTTTGGAAGGGACCTCTGAAAATCATCTAGTTCAACCTCTCTGAACAAGCAGAGTCACCTAGAGCACATTGTACAAGATCATGTTCAGGTGGGTTTTGAATATCAAAGGAGGAGGCTCCACAATGTCTTTGATCACCGGTTTCAGTGCTCTGTCAAAATCACAGAGATTTTTCTTATGTTCAGAGAGGGACCTTACTGTGTTTTATTTTGTGGTTGTTGCTTCATGTCCTATTACTAGCTACCACTGAAAGGAGTCCAGCTCCTCCTGACCTCTCTTAAGGTATTTTTACACACTGATAAGATCCCTTCTTAGCCTTCTCTAGGCTGAACAAGAGGCCTTGTCCTTACAGGAGAGGCTCCAGTCCCGGCATCATCCTTGTAGCCCTGCACTGGACCCTCTCCAGTAGCTCCATGTCCCTCTTGGGGAGCCCAGAACTGGGAACTGGGCACACACTCCAGATGTGGCCTCCCCAGGGCTGAGCAGAGGGGCAGGATCCCCTCCCACATCCTGCTGGCAACACTGCCTAATGCCCCCAGGCACCACTGGCCTTCTTGACCAGCTGTGCACATTGGTGGCCCATGCTCAGTGCACAGCGCTCCCAGGTCCTTCTCTGCAGACCTGCTTTCCAGCAGGTCAGTCCCCAGCCTCTCCTGGTGCCTTCCTCCCTATCTGCCTTTGCAGAACTTAATCATGTTCCTCTCTGTCTATTTCTCCAGTTTGAAATCTCACCCAACTTGAGTGCGTGCTGGGACTTTTTTCCCTCTTTCCAAACAATGCCTTAGGAATGTCTGTTGGTTCTGTTGCTGTAATGAATCTTCATTTACTCTCCTAATTTTACTTTGTTTAATTTCTTCCTATTTTTTTCTCAGTTCAAAACAATGTAAAAAGGCAAACAAAAAGACTAGTCTTGGAAGGATGCATTAAAGCAAATCTTATGTAAATTTACCCTAGATTGAATTAATTGCAGCTTCAAATACAAGACAAAAATGAAAATATTTCTTACTGTTTCGTTTGGTATGAGTGGACTTCTGCATCATCCTTGTCACCAGCCAGCCTAAGAAATACTTTCTTTCCCCAGTATTTTGCAGCTTCTGTGCAAATCTGGTGTTGGATATTTTCCTATCCACTAAGTATTTCTGTGGGCCCTCTTTTTAACTTCCCCAACTACATATAATAGAAAAGTGACCTCCTTGCAGCAGGCATGCTCATGGCTCCTAGAGTTAGAGCTGGCTAGTTTTTCCAGGGCAATCTGGATTTTAAGGTGAGTTTTTTTTCACTATCCTTTCTAGATCTTTTTCTAGTCGCTGTTAAACAGACAGCCGTTTTTCACTCTTTGGGAATGGCTTTCATTCATTGGTATTAAATGTATTAAGGAATGAAAAAGAGAAGTGAAATATCAAACTGCAGAGCTGCAAAAGCAAAATTATTTTACTGCAATGAATTTTTGAAGATTTTTGTTGCATCTTTCATAAGATATTGGTAGCTATTTTTAAATTTAGGTTTATATGCTAATATTGCTGGGAAAAGCATTTGACATGTTACTGACGAGCAAACCTTAAAGAATGTATGCATTTAACACTTTTGGTGAAATTACGGGTGTTATCAGTAGACCAAAGGAATACAATGCTAAACTGAAGAAGCTTTGAAGAGCTGGAACAACTTGCAGAAACGCAAA